GATGTTTTTTGTCGCTTCATCATGCGACATTGTGACAAATCTTCTTCCCGACGCATCAACTTCAAACTTGAAGCTCGTTTTCTTCAGCAGCCTCTGACCTTCTCTTCCTCTCCGTCAAAAGAATAAAATAACGTGAAACCATACATTGCGGAGGAGGGCGAGTGGATTACTCATTTCAATGGCTGGCGAGGCTCTCAACTTCATCAAGTCTTCGCTCTCTATGGCTGGCTTGTGGGTGACATTTTCCTTGCCCTGGCGCTTCAAACGGACTATCTGAGCGTTTAAAATTTCATTCGATCGTTTAAATCGAGGATCTGAACTCAGTTTGAGCCCTCTGCATAGGGGTGGTGCATTCAGGTATCTCTCAAAAGAGTGCCTGAAACTAAGGAGAGAGGATTTGCTGTTGGATTCCCCGGACTTGTTCCTCGCTTCGGCGTAGAACCTGCGCATGTTTGTGTCCAGTTGTCCTACCGTCACGTTTTCCATCGAAGTTTGTATTTTTTCTCGTTCCACCAAGCTAAAATAAAAACAAGCTTTCTTTGAGTTTAAAAAGAAACCATTTAAAAGTTATTTTCGTGAAGGAAAACCAGACAGAAAGACTGTTATTGCTACATCGGTAATTTGATGTAATTAAATGTGTTAATCCTTTTGCAAACAATTTTTCTGTGAGTTTTACTATTCCCGAGAACAACTGTTAATTTTATATTTAACAATTTTAAAACGGAAAAATTTAAGCTTACCTTTGAAGGTTGAAACAGTCCAGTTTGTCATTTGTTTGGTTTTACCAGAGTGTCATTCTTTCAAAATTTGTTGCATTTCACCCCAGAACAGTGAAGCGAATCGTGACGGCGCTGATGCCGAGTCTCCTTTTCCGTTGTTTTTCTTTTTCTACGCCACATTTAAGAACTCTAACCCAAGGGAACAGGTCGGAAAATTGTCTTCGTTTTGGGACTGCTGGGCCGAGTCTCTGTTCGTATACATTATTGTCGCAAAATATATTATTTTTCCCCGTGCTAACAATGGCCGCTCGCACGAAGAAAAAAATTTTCTGGTGAAGCGATTTCCTCAAGCTATGAGCGTGCACTATCGGGATTTTGAGCACGCTTAAGTCTAATGAATTGGATTGTGCGGCTCTCCTAGGTATGTTCTAATTGCTAGTAACTCATAAAGCCGAGAAAATTTGGTTTTCAATTGACCCTACAGCATGAACTAATGGAATATAATTTAATGTCATTTAATTAATGTTTAAAGATTGTCCCTGAATATCTCTTTATTCACCCGGTTTAACAAAAAACAATTATCTGTAGGTTTATCTCGTTTTTCGCTCTTCTCTTGAAAAGGGGAACGTTCACAAAATATTAAGTCTTGGTGAATGACTGCAAGAAAAAAACAGTTGGATTTTCCTATAATACAATACAATGTGCACAAGTTTCACACGGCGGCGCGCGTATTATCTCAAAATAAGAGCCTTTTTTTACTATTTATTCATTTGTCTGCTGTCGATCAGTCACAATCCATAAAGTTGTGTCGTTGTTTTCTTGTGGTAAGGGAGTGTTTTTGTGTAGGGTAGTAATGAAGTTTTTCTTTTGGGCCTTGTATTGAACAGCATTAAAATTTAATACATAAATTTTATAAGCATTATAGATATAATAGTGCTCTTCAATTGCTTTTGGCTAAGATTCGTTTCCAGTAGCCTCTTCGTGTGGCGCCACATATGACTGACTTTGTAAACTTTAGGAACGTCGGGTAGCTTAGCAACGATCTACGGTGGTTCCAAGTCTCCGTCGTCACGTGCTTGATCCCATCCTTACAACGCATACGAATGTCGTTATTTCACAAAAAAAGTAGAAACAAAATGACCCTTCAAAGGAATGACGTCATAAGGGTGACATAATTACTGGTAACCCAGTATTATTCATCATGGACCACTAATTCAAAATAGTCAGCAGAGTAAAAGCAAAAAGAAAACAAAACAAATCAAAGCTGCCGTGATGAAACCTATGTGGCATCAATACAATTTTGAACCGTTTTAACTTTCAATGATTCGCATACTGATCAAATCAGTCAGAGAAAAACAATACATCGCACAGTCTTTTAATCAACCCCACTGGCGACCGCTGACTCAAACTACTCGGCTGACTAAAAACAAACAAACAAACAAAAAACAGTTAAATCTCCCTTAATCAATAATATATGGCATCAATCAAATTTTGAAATGTTCTTATTTTCACAGATTCGCATACTGATCAAATCAGTCAGAGAAAAACTGTACAAAAACTAACAATCTTTTGATGAACCACAATGGCGAGGGTTAACATTCTATACCACAACTATGCATAAGATGGTAACGTGTGATACAGTGGTGTAAAATGCTAATGAACAAAGAGGCGAAGAAAGTTGACCGTATAGGGGGTGAAGGTGTAGTTGGAATGCTCTTGCTAAGTACAAACGTGTAAATGCCAGAGTAATCGAAACATAAATACCTACGTGAAATGAAATATCGTCCAGATGAAACTATTATAGAACTTTTATTGTACAGCATATGGCAATGTGCGGCCTTTCCTTACATTTAGGTAGCTCGGAAAGACGCAAGACTTTTTAATTAACAATTGGTTCATGCTTTAGCGTGCACTATCGAGTTATGGAGCACGCGGGAAGTTTGGAGAGCACGAAAGAAGCGTAAGAGTTGCCCGAGGCGATAGCCGAGGGCAACTCTAGCTTCTTGAGTGCTCTCCAAACTTCCCACGTGCTCCATAACTCGATAGTGCACAGCTGAAAGCATGAACCAATTGTTTTAGAACATAGCCGGTGGAATTGTGCATCAAAT